TTGTGCTTTTCCACATATGTGGCGCTGAGATCACCTACCACCTGAGATCAGCTTCGTCTCACACTACATGTAATCTGTTAACAGAACTGATGAACTGCAGTCAGCTGGCATCCAAATTACAGCTCTGAGCACAGTCCACACTCATCACTTCCAGAGGGCTGCTCTTTGAACATGCACATATGCAAAAGTACACACACTTACACACAACCATCTCTTGTTGGTTGTGAAGATGGGAAAAATAACTCAAGGTCAATGCTTGGAGACAGATGGTCTACCGAGATGGAAATCGTGCAATACGTGTTGCTTGGGGTATTGGAGAGCAGCGTGGGTGTAGTTTACATTGGTACACAAACACACACACACACACAAAAACTCTGTTTACGTACGGTTGAGCCCAACATCATGGTAGGTCAGGATAGCTGGCTTGTTGCCCTTTGGAGCCCCACGGATCACTACGTGCAACATCCCATAAGGGGTTTCAATGTCATGTTCCTACAAAAAAAAAAAAAAAAAACAGTTTCGGTAAACAGTCTCTGTCCAAGACGGTCTTGTCCTAATAACCACTTACCTGAAATGGATCTCTTGAGAGGCCTGAATTTTATACAGTATATATATATAGAACAGTACTTACATATTACCATTTTATTAGTTCTAATTTTCATCAATTACTAGGATGCATTCAAGTAAACTGGGCCACTTTTTGACAGTGGGATGAGACTGGCCCACTTTACCAGAACCTGTATGTTGTATACAAGCTAAAACATCTACTTATATTGTAGTTGAGTCAAAATCTGCCAAGGTGTAAATAAAAAAATTAATACAAAAAATTATCTATTTTTTAAAAGTCAACAAATTTGCGACAGTTGAATGTAACATTTTGTCTGACAAAAAAAAAAAAATAGATAAATGTGTGCAGTACACGGTAGTATTTACAAGAAGTAGTGGTCCAGAGAGTACATTACTCACCTGGAAAACCCACACTACCGGATGTTTTGACATCATTGCTTTCCGAAAAGTAGAAAATGGTGGCCAAAGTGGCTTCAACATGCTGTCTTTCAGAAGATGTATCGTACCTAATACATAACGCGCGTGAGAATAAATTTGTTCTTCACACACTGAAATTGACAGATTTTTATAACATAGATCAGTATCTTCTCAATTGTTATTTAAAGCATTTACCAAAGTATGATAAAATGTTGTTTAATTTTCCAATAAAAGATGGTACATTTTTATATGATCTTTTACATTTAATCACACCTTAGCAGATTTTGACTTGCAATAATCGACTGCTTTCACTGGGTAAAGAAAAAATCGATTTAATCAAGAGCGGCAAGAGTTAAATACAAGACTAATTAATATCTCATTAAGCGTCTCTGATCCCAGATTCACTGCACACAGTCATGTAACACTTTTAATTGCCAGTTCCAAAGGCATTTTAGTCTGAACTGATCCACATTTAGTCTGAGACTTTATTCCAAGCGGAGGAGCGATGGATGTATGTGTGCATGTTGTTTTTCTTGTCCTGAGGATTATTTCAGCATCTCTAGCTTTCCAGTGTTATGCACAAATCCTAGCAGACACCTCGCAGGCAGCCCACTTCAGAGCTGAATGCAGATCCACAGAGAGACTGGAAATAAGTCTTCTTTAAGCCCCTGTCAGTTGGTGTTTTTGATGTTGGTCAGAGCAGATTTGGACGGTCTTTGTGTGTTTGTGTGTGAGTTTAGGACAGCTGTTTGTGTCTCTCTGTGTTTAGATTGAGATATAATCTTATGGCAGCTGTCACTGTGCTGAAAAACGTTGAGCATGTTTTATAGGGAGATAATATGCAACAAACACTGACAGGATAGACAGGAAATTTGACCTAGATTCAACAATATTACGCAAATATAGGGCAGAAAATAGTAAAGCTGTTCATCATAATCTGTCAAGAAATTCTCTTGTAGCTGCTCATTTTTTCATTCTCAAAGTCACACAACTGACCTTGTATGAGGATTTTTATGATTAGATTGCAGACATAAGATTCACCATCAGCACCACATGTGCAAACAGACATTTCTGAACACACTGCAGGTTACTGCAGAGGTACATCAGGGTGCACGTTCCACACGTGTCAGTGTGTTAGTGTGTCAGTGCAAATGGCCACCTCACACATGACTGGACACTTCTGCACAACACAGAATTCTAACATCACAAACACACTTGTCAAATATATGAAATATTTATTATTTATTTATTTTGGTAGAAATACATTTTTATTTTTTTTACGTATTATATTGTTAATCATTTTAAACCATTTTTAAAATGTTATTAAGTTTTTTGTTTGTTTTGATTTTTACTTAAGTTTTTTAATTTTTGATGTTTTAGTACAATAATTAGCCATTGTAAATGAAAATAATCATAGATTAATAATCGTAGATTAACAAAAAATCATACGAATATTTACCCATCAGGAAAATGTGCAATGTAATTGTTCCACAATTACCAGAGCAGTAGGTCAAGCTAATTAGTTCTGTAGAATTTTTGTTATAAATTATTTTATTTATTTTAATTTTTTTCTATTAATTATGTATTTATTAAAATTATGACCAGTTTATACATTTACAGAGGATGCTGTTTTATTTCTGATGTTTTGAGTATAATAATTAGCCGTTAATAAATTAAAATAATATGAAATTATCATAGAATGTTAACAATAATTAGCCATCAGGAACATATACTGTAAATGTGCAATGGAATTGTTTCACAATTACCAGTTCAGTCTAGTCATTTCTGACCACAAGGCAAATCAATAGCAATTTATTTAACCAGCCAAACAATTAAGAATGATAATATAGCATACATATTGTTATAAAACACCATTTTAGCTGTTTATTTGTAGCAAAACAAAAGCATTGTCTCTCACATTCGCTATTTGCATTCTGTAATCACAGATATCCCACTCACCCCATCCCAGCACTCCGGCATGGCTGCTTGCAGATTGTGTACGCTTGCTTAAAGGCGTATATGAGCAGGTAGAAGACAAGGTCCTCTCCGGGAAACTAGACTCAGATGCAGGCAACCAGAGAGATGCTGCGGTTGCTATGGCGTCTCTTTGTCTCTTCTTGTTCTGGTCAGGGGAGTTCTGCAGTGCTGCTGCCCCTCCCCCGGAACATTTCATAACCCACCCCTGTTCCCTCATTGGCTGACTGCAAAAATGGCTCCCTGTTATTGGCTGAGCTTTGTGTCACTCTAAATCTGTTGTGTTCTGTCTGTTTTTGTCCCATATTTGCCATCTTCATCTTCTGCGTGCTCATAAAGGCCTTTAATATAGATATTCTATAATTCTGCTGCAATTTTGCAGTGATATAGTACTCAATTTTCTATGAATAGAGGGTGTTTCTCAAAAATGTGTAATTATTTACAATTTAATTACTTTTAAATTCTTCTACACATGCAATTTTTTATCCAAAGATTATTATTAGACAAACATACAACAGATGGAAATTGGGCCATGTCAAAGGTCAGTGAAGATTTCATAGGTTCTCTGATCTGATCACCTCAGATCTCATGCATGGGTGTAAATACAGTTGCATTGTCATCAAAGGAAGGACCCCACCCACTACATCATACCATATACATAAGCACATAAATGCTAACAGGTTTAGTGCTTAACAGCCATTTATTGTGTGCAAACAAATACAATTAAAAAATTATAATTATAAAGAATAGTATTTTAATTGTAATCTTAAAAGAAGTTACAAAAAATGTGTTTTAGACATGTTTACAAGACCATTTTTCAGCCTTGAGTGCCGTATTGCTATTATGAAATAGTTACTGCCCATCCCAATACAAATAAACAGTACTAAACTCAAGTACCTTGAATACACTATAGGTTGCAAAAATGCATCACATGAGGCTATTTATCTTCTGAGCTCAAACTCTGGTACTAACATATTATTATATATTATTGTATTTAACATGTATTTTAAAACCAAAATTTGAATTTGGGAAAAAAAATGCATTTCTGTTCAAGAATATGTTTGGCTTATTAACTTTAATTATCATCTATATAAATAATTTCAAAAATTTGCCTTTTAACATGCAGCAAAAAAATTTTAAGATGCCATTACGGCGATTTATACCTATAGGGCAACATATTTTGGGTTCTGCAAAAATATATTATTTTTTAATACAGCTGTCTGGAATGCTGTATTGAACAAGCGGACTGTATTGCCAAATCTGATTTATACACACTAAAAAATGCTGGGTTATTTCAACCCAACTTTGGGTCAAATTTGGACTAACCCAACTTTTGGGTTAAAAATTGAATGTAAAAATGTAACCCAACGGTTGGGTTACTCCATATTTGACCCAAAGTTGGGTTGAAACAACCCAGCATTTTTTAGAGTGTAATGTCGCATTTAATTTTTTTTTTCCCCCTTGGCATTAGGTAACCGTATTGTGCTAGCAAACACCTATTTAATTATCTGTTCTCCATCACAATTAAAACCTCTCACTCGATGAGCGTGCAGCTTACAAATCCTATCATCTTCAGCCCCCTTCACTGTTTGGCTTTCTCACTGTTTTATTCAAAATCTTCTCTCTGTGATTTAGTCCTATTTCTGTCAGAGGTGTGAAGAGATGATTGCAAACCGTGAGACGGTGACAAAACTGAGGTGATAAAGTTCTTATACCTCAACTTTTATCTCAGTAGTTTGACTTCATCATCAAACGCCAAAAAGGAATAATGAGACTTTGTTAGCCATGCCATTTTAAATCTGACATGACTTAAAATCCTTCAAGGACTGGCTGTTTAAATGTAAATGTTAAGTCAATATCAAAAATGCACAAGGAAGAGTCACTGTACCTTCCAATCTCCCTCAGCCACGAAGGTCTCACAGTTTTCCTGCAGGAACACAAAAGGTCAGGTTCATCAAAGCCAAAATACACTCGTTTTAATATGCTATCAGAATATAATAAGCAGCGATGGGAGCAACACTCTGCAAGGTCCCGCCAGCGAGGAAAGAGTTTCTGTGATGGAAACATTTACCTGAGCTATTGTTTCTAGAACATTGTGAGTTTTTGTCTGGGGTGTAAAAGTACTGAGAAATTATACTTAAGTTAAAGTACAGATACTATGCCAACATTTTACTCAAATGTCAAAGTATCCAGCCAAAAACATTTAGAGTGAAAGCAAAACTTTTCCTAAATGTAATTGTTCAATTCAGAAGCAACATTTGAAATTAAATCTGAAACTGACTGGATTTTCAAGAAGAAAATTGTGAAGTGGAATGTATATTTACATAATGATGACCAGATATATACTTTAAAGGTCTGAATAGAATTTTAAGCAGTTAAAAAGAAAAGGTGCAGCTATTCATTTTAAACTGAATAAATTAAACATGCCCCAAAATAATTCCTCATACAATAATAAAGTATAATTACTCAAGTACTTTACACCCTTGTTTGTTGTTTCACTAGGCATGGTTGGTTAGAATGTGGGTGGCTTAGCTGGCTTCAGATCAGCAGCTATTTGTGGAAATATAAAACGTGCAAGCTGAGCTTGCTTCAGTGCTGATATGAGGCCTGTTTAACTCCATTATACATTTAAGTATAATGGTTAGCATTTTGATGGCCTGAGCTGGTCCAACCCCAGTATTAATGAGGAAAGATATGAAGGTAGAATGACGTCAAAAAGATTTGCACAGGGTAATATTTGTGGAAGGAAGTGTACATAAGTAAGCGTAAATTAAATTTGCATGCGCAAGAGAAGCTTTGTAAAGGTGTAAATCGCGTTTCAAGCGCAAGAATAAAATATTTGCAGCATTTTACTGTTACTCGTAAGTGTAATTCATGTATTGTGAAACTGCAGCTTCATGCTAACGCAAAATAAATATGATCTGCATGCTTCTGACTTCCATTTTTCCGCGCTTACACTTTTGGCACGTTTTTTTCGCCAAAAGACGGTCAAAAGTACTGCAAGCCTGTGAACAGTGATTTGCAAGCGAAAACAACAGTTTAAAGAACTGCAAAAC